GTCATCTGAAAGAAAAACTTGATAACGTTATGGTTTTAGTGAAGACTGATGGCAACTGGCCTTTCTAGGGATCTATATCTAGATAATGTGATATACATGTAAACATATGGTAGCTATAAGCCAAGAAATGCAACTGAAAGCCTCTTTTAGATGAAGGGATCATAGCCATAGAGAAAAAGTTATGTTGCTGATAGGTATTCTGTTTCTCTGTAAAGTTTATTCAAAAGTCTAGAAGGAGCAAATGATTTTCTCACACTTAGTCACCCTCTTATGCTCTCTAGCACCGATCAGTGACAATGTTTTCTTGCATTCCCAGGGTTAAGTTTATAATTGAGGAGATTGAAAGAGATGAAGCAGCTCTACGAGAGGACCTGTACTCGGCTGACAGGAAGTTTGCTGAATATTACAATGTAGGTGAAAAGAAAACTCATATTGTATTATCCAAAACGAAAATCCAATTACCGGGCTGTTGCATGATATGTTTCTAGATATGTTTTTTTGTAGATAAGTTTCTACATGTATATCTAAGCTACTGCCTGTGAATTATCCTTGTACTCCCTGGTGCTAGTAAGTTCTAATGACTGTTCATTTTTTCTGAACAAGGTCCTGGAACAAATACTCGGGGTACTTATTAAGCTTGTGAAAGATCTAAAATTAGAACATCAACACAAATATGTAAGGGTTCAGTGTTTCCCAGTTGATTTAATTGCTGCCTATTCACATTTAGCTTACTCTATATTGTATTGTTACAGAATGAGATGCAGAAGACTTGGTTGTGTAAAAGGTGTGAGACCATGAATGCAAAGTTAAGGTATAATCTCATCCTGTACTGTTTAGGATCCAAATAACAGGCTATTGTAGGAGGATATCTTATTTTTCTCTGCTTGTGAAGGGTTCTGGAAAATGTTCTCCTCCTTGAGACATACACCCCTGACTCCATATCAGCTCTGCACAACATCAGGTGCGGGAATCTATTTTCCAGACATGTTTTTTTGACCCATGACCCCATCTCTCACCTCCGAGCCTTATTATTGTATTTTTTAGGAATTATCTAGTCGAGGCTACCGAGGAAGCTTCAGCTGCATACAACAAAGCGGTTTGTGTCTTTATCCTCTCTTACATTGCTTAGCTCTAAACCCCTTTTTTCCGTCTTCATTGGCGTTTTACTCCCAAATAATTAATCGAACCTGCAAAATGACGCACAGGTTACACGGCTTAGAGAATATCAAGGAGTGGATCCACATTTTGATACAATTGCCAGACAGTACCATGACATTGTAAAGGTATAAGCAAGCCATTACTTACGCCATATCACCTTCTAAATTTGATTTGACTTGTGAGAATGCAATAACACAAATTATGATGAGAGCTTTCATGTTTTGCAGAAACTGGAAAATATGCAGTGGACCATTCATCAAGTAGAAATGGACCTCAAGTCTCATGACTGATCACTAGATTTGTTAACACTTGTGAGATATGTATTGGCTAATCTGATCCTCCAGATAGATTGGACTCGGTATAATTTAAAATACATTCAGTTGTGTGATCCACTACTTGTAATCTACTTACATTGTGCTATCTTCCTTTGTTATATACTTGTATTGGTCGTTCAATCTAAATGAGATAACCAGTTTAACAGTTACAAACCAAAACTTTACTAGAAATGAAACCAATCTCTCTTTCTTCAACCTTAAATTTTGCCTGAACAACAATAATACAACTCTTGTCTTTTTCGATTAGATTCCAACATAGAAGACAAATAAAATGTGTTAGAACAGTCTTGGTTGTTGTGGATTCCCACTTCTCATCATAGCACAAAACTCTTCATAGTTGATTCTACCGTCCTGTAACAAGAAAGAAAATTTGAGGTTAGAGAAAGAAAACAGAAAACGTTACAAGGGAGAAGAGCTTTTTCTTTTGGCTTTACGTTATCGGCGTCAACATCAGACAAAATCTCTTTGATTGTAGCATCATCTCCCATTCCATATTCCTTCAAAGCAGCCTCTAGCTCGTCTATCGTAATGTATCTATTAAACACATTTTGAGTAAAAGTCTCATCAATCATGCTTACAAATCTATATACTTTACAAAATGATTCATATCAAAAGAAAGATCACTTACCCACTCCCATCTTTGTCAAAATGTTGGAAGGCTTTGTAAAGGTTTTCATTACTTTCAAGCCTATGTCTATGCATTGTTGCAGTAATAAACTCAATGTAATCGATTGACCCATTTCCATCAACATCAGCCTGAATGACAAAACCTGAATATGAGTTTTAAACGTTCAAGTAAATGTAAGATCTTATCTTGATCAAAAACTTACAGCATCCATGAGCTGTTTCACTTCGGCTTCAGTGAGTTTTGATCCCAATTTGGCTAATCCTTCTTTCAGTTCTTCATATGTGATTGTACCACTATTGTCTGTATCTATATTAGCAAACATCGCCTTTAAGCCTTGTATTTCTTCCGTGTCAATGTTCTCCGCAATGACCTGCAACTACATTTATAAGTAAAAAACAAAATGGACTATCAAATGTAGCAGCAAGGTGTAAAATCTTTGATCTAACCTTTAAAGCAAGTTTCTTTAGTTTATTCATTGCTCTAAATTGCTTCATCCTTGAGAGAACAGCACTATCAATAGGCTTATCCGATGCTTCTCCACCTTCTCTTAGCCATGGATGCTCTTCAAAAGGTAAAGAAAACAACCACATTCTCAACATTCGAGTAAGTATACACGAAGTTATCAATACCAACAAAGGAAAATCCCTGAAAAAGATCGTTTACTTACGAAGAACTTCAGCAGCAGAAATCCGTCTTTTCGGATCTTGTGTCAACATTCTACGTACCAAATCTTTAGCACTATTGGAAATTGAAGGCCAAGGTTGGGATTCAAAGTCGATTTCACCTTCCAATATAGCATCAAATATCCCTTTCTCGGTTTCTACATTCCCAAAGCCAACAAACCATACGCATACACATCAGCAACTACATTCTTCTCAAATGTAAATGAATCGAATAACCGATAACAAGATCGCATTTACCAGCCCAAAACGGAGGCACACCGCTAAGTAGAATGTATAGGATAATTCCAGCACTCCATATATCGATTTCTTTACCATATCTACGCTTCAAAACTTCAGGAGCAACATAATATGCACTCCCAACTATATCTTTATAAACTCTCCCTGCAAAATAAACCCATCACAAATGATTCTACAAAAACCAATTCCATAAACATATCATCAATTCAACAAAAGATGTAATATACCTTCTTCGATAAAGACCGATAATCCGAAATCAGTGGCTTTAATAAGAGCCTTCTCATCTTTGCTAGATAACAAGAAATTCTCAGGCTTTAAGTCTCTATGCATCACACCCATGAAATGACAAATGTTGACAACATTAACAATCTGTCTACAAAGAGAAGCAGCTGCTCTCTCACTGTAATGTCCCTTTGCTAAAATCCTATCAAACAATTCACCACCAGCACAAAGCTCCATAACCAAATTCACAGCTTTCTCGTCTTCATAAGCTCCTTTAAACTCAACAATGTTAGGCTGTCCACTCAAGTGCTGCATGATCTGAATCTCTCTCCTCATATCTTCTTTATCAGCTTTCGTCACAAGTTTCTTCTTCGAAATCGACTTGCAAGCGAATTTCTTCCCCGTCGACTTCTCTGTGCACAGATACGTTACTCCAAACTGGCCTCGACCCAATTCTTTGCTCAACGTGTACAACAGTTTCACGTCTTCGTACGGCTTCTCGAGTATAGCTGCAACACCACTGTGATTCGCCGGATTCCGCCACGGCGGTGGTTGATTCGTTCCAGTGGGTTTCTCCGGCGGATATTGGTGGGTACTCCTTCCTCTGTTCTCGATCTCAGCTGATCTTTCACCATTTTGTTGTGGTTTCATCACCACTCCATATTTCTTGGCTAAGCAATTCCCCATTGTTTTTTCGTCTCTGTTTTAGCTAAATCAGCTCAAAATATCACGACCCAGAGACAAAAGATCGAAACTTTCGTAAAAATTTGCAGAGAATCAAGAAAATGAAACAGAGAAAAAAGCAAAGGTTTGATCTTTTTTGTTGGTGGGTTTATACTAGGAGACGTGGAAGTGTATCAATTCAGCAACTAAGGAAAACGAACTTGTTTCATCAAGCAATGATTTGGGTTTAAGAGATTAGAAGAAAGGAAAAGTTGAATTGCAGAAGAATCATGAAAAGTTGGGGAAGAAGAAGAACAAAGTAGTGGAGGGATCCTTAAAGGTCGGCTTTTTGGGCAGCTGTGGTCTGTGGAGAGTTTGTTAGTTGGTGAAATTAAATTGACATTTTTTTATAAGACAAGTCAACTATTTCTCCTCTCGATTTTGATTTTCTTTTGTCATTTAAGCGTTCCATGTGAAGCAACATTGGCCAGATACTAACGATGATGATGATTAATCAAAGCTTATATAGTTTTAAAACATTAACGGCTTTCATCCATAATAATGCATATCGTTGGAATCATTTTGCATTATTGTAAAATTAGTCAAGATTCCCACAAAATTTTCAGACCTTACCTATATCGAACAATCATGGTTTAGGCGGACAATCGATGGACCAAATCTCTGTTGGTTTCCAGTTCATTCGCAATGTCAGTTGTTAATGCTGGACGATTTTAAGGTGGGAAGAACCCGAAAGAGTAGAGCCGTAAAACCATGGGAGACAACGAAGAAGAAGACCAATACAAGGAAGACAAATCAAAAACGAAGAAAAAAAGATGAGGAAGCAAATAAACTATGACAGTATAACCATGTTGTCTCCAACAGGATTACCTGTGTGGCCATGGTGTCTCCAACAGAATCACATTTCTCGCTAGGTATAACCAATAAAAGATACAAGCTACCAAAAATCTTTTTTTCTTTTAAAGTAAACAACTTGTCGCAATAGAAGTTAAAGATACACACAACTTAATGGTACTGCTGCGTTTAAACCAGTCAAACCCTTAATGGTACAAGAGTAAAAGATGCATAAGTTTATCCCAGTAACAGTAAAGAAGTTTGCAGATAATATATAGTTGAGTAGAATGTCATTATACTAAGAAACAACCCGATTCCAAAAGGTCAGATGCACCGACACTCCTGCAAGATACCAGATTAACAAGTATGAGTCAAGTAGATGACTTGCTGAAACAGAGGACCTAACAAATCTTACATACTTAAAAAACTAAACCAAAATGAGAGGTATATAATCAATGACATGATTCCCTTGGTTTCCTCCTAGTTAGAATTGTAAACAGAAGAGAATGGGAGATTGAGTCCTACAAAAGTTTCAGAGCTTACCAATCTAATTATGGTTTAGGGTTGACACGGTAGACGGTTACTTGCAGTGGAAGGTAGCGAACGGTAGCTTGAAAAGGTATAATAATGTGAGAATCATTATCCTTGGCCTCGAAGGTGATGTAGAAAATGAATCCAGCGCCATAATGGCGATTAGCCTTGACAGCTCTCACAAATTCAAGATTTGTCAAGTTATACTCATTGTGTTTCTGAAGAGCAATCTTGGATAATCGGTGGACCAAATCTCCGTCGGTGTCCGGTTCATCAACAACGTCGCTATCCTCGAAGTTAACAGGATAGCGCATTACAAAGCGTCTTTGCTTCCTGGTGTCAAAGTCGTAATCCTACACACAACAATCACATTCATGAGAGAAGCGTAGGAGAGATTGGTGGATGATTACAACAACATACCCCGCTTCTGTTGAGTTCTTCTTTGACCAATCGTTCATCTTCCGAATCGAAACTACACGTAGAATCGCTGTATGACGACATCTCCTCTTCACATTTCTCATCCAGCTTCTGACGCTTCAGATCAGGCTCCTCAGATTTCTTATCGACCACCACTTGCGGATCCATAACTCTTAACTAATACAGTAACCCTAATTCTCTCTGTTTCTTTCTTAAAAACATTAGATAACGTTACCAGATCCAAATCCGGAAGATTTTAAAATCAAATCAAATCATAACTACTCGTTTCCTTTCGTAAACCAGTAGACGATTAATTGTATTCGCATTGCTTATCGAGATCAAATTTCTGAGGCTTTAAATTAGGATCCTAAGATAAATGTCTTATTTGCCCATCACGGAAGCAGGTGTGTAACCCTAATTGGTCGCGATCGTGGTGGTGATTACAAAACCCTAATTGTTGTAGGTTATTAAACGTATGTTTTGTTAGGTTTACATAATATAAATTTTTTTTTTTGTTAATTATTCTTTTGTTTTTTAGTTGACTTATTGGAAGAACCAATTAGAAAACCAAAAAACAAAAACAAAAAATTGAAGAAAAAAAAATACAACCACATGAGATGAGAAACGTTTTGTTAATGATAAAATTAGGGTAAACATAAAACCCTAAGTTGACTTGATATATTTTCCAGCGGCTCTCTCAAGTATTTCCTTTTCTCTGTCAATCAGATATATCAAGTAATTAATGAACCGACACAAAATGGAAATTCTCTTATTCCAATATTTTCCATAATTTTCTCTCATCGCCAATTTATAGAAACTACAACAAATAGGAAATGGAAACTGATAACTTGATAAATACTCAAGCACCGCAACAACAACAAGATTAAGAAACATAACATTGATTCTCCCACGATTTGCTCTCTTTATATAGATCTCTCTTTGTTCCTCATATTTCTTCATCGTTTTGTCTCTTTCTCTCTGTCTCTCGTATCTCTCTTATTACTCTGTATCTTGAATTCTCTCTGATAATGTCAATGAACAACATCGACGACGCAAAGACGGAGACTTCAGGGTCTTCAGGTTCAAGCGACTCTTTCTTGCCCCTCAAGAAACGCATGAGACTTAATGACGAACCAGAAAACGCCCTAGTGGTTTCGTCTGCGACAAAGACGGTTGTGGTTTCTGGTAATGTCAAGTACAAAGGGGTGGTTCAGCAACAGAACGGTCATTGGGGGGCTCAGATTTACGCAGACCACAAAAGGATTTGGCTTGGAACTTTCAAATCCGCTGCTGAAGCCGCCACGGCTTACGATAGTGCATCTATCAAACTCCGGAGCTTTGACGCTAACTCCCACAGGAACTTCCCTTGGTCTACTATCACAGTCCACGAACCAGACTTTCAAGATTGCTACCCAACAGAGACTGTGTTGAACATGATCAGAGACGGTTCTTACCCGCACAAGTTCAGAGACTTTCTAAGAGTCAGATCTCAGATTGTTGCGAGTATCAACATGGGGGGAACAAAACAAGTCCGAGGAGAAGTAAATCAAGAATCTGACAAGTGTTTTTCTTGCACACAGCTTTTTCAGAAGGAATTGACACCGAGTGATGTAGGGAAACTAAACAGGCTTGTGATACCTAAGAAGTATGCAGTGAAGTATATGCCTTTCATAAGCGATGATCAAAGCGAGAAAGAAGAAGGCGAAATAGGAGGATCTGTGGAAGATGTGGAGGTTGTGTTTTACGACAGAGCAATGAGACAATGGAAGTTTAGGTATTGTTACTGGAAAAGTAGCCAGAGCTTTGTCTTCACCAGAGGCTGGAATAGTTTCGTGAAGGAGAAGAATCTCAAGGAGAAGGATGTTATCGTCTTTTACACTTGTGATGTCCCGAACAATGTCAAGACATTAGAAGGTCAAAGCAAGACCTTCTTGATGATCGATGTTCATTACTTTTCAGACAACGGTTCCGTGGTCGCTGAGGAAGTAAGCATGACGGTTCATGACAGTTCAGAGGAAGGAATGAAAACAGAAAACTTGGTTAGCTCGAAGTCAAAAGATAAAGAAACCAAAACAGAGGAAAACAAAGGAGGGTTTATGCTGTTTGGTGTAAGGATCCAATGTCCTTAGGAAATTTAAAAAAAAAATTGTTTTACTTAACTAGAGATTGTTTTACTTGTACCTCATGAATTTTTAAGAACAAACAAAATTGTTTTACTTAACTAGATTTTGTTTTTACTCAATGCTTTGTTACTGGTTCAGATTACTTTTTGGTCCCTAATTACTTTGGGAGTTCTTACGCTCTTAGAAGAATGTTGATTCTTTGTACTTGATTACTATCTCTCAGAACTATTTTGATGAGTCAAGAGAACAACTAATTGAGTATCTAAAATTAATGTTTATCTCTCGTTCTCTTGTTTTTTGACTGTCTTTTTCTACTGCGGTATAACTATTGGTAGTTTGCTCTCAAATTAAATACCTGCTTCTCACAAAAAGTATTCTCGATCGGTCCAGCACGATTGAAATAGAAGCCGGTTCGACAGGAAGCTTTTGAAAACACAGACATGGGTGATCATTGGTCCGATGCTTCGGCCGAAACCAATGCTAAAGATACAAAAGCGTAGGATCTGGAGGAACCCGCTCTTGAGCCGCTAAAGAGACACGACTCTTTCCGTCGGTCAAACCAACGATTCTCTTCTCAAAGTACTGTCTTTTTAATTTGTCTTCTCACAAAAAAAAAAAAAAAAAACAAGTACCTACTTCTAAAATAAATAAATAAAATTTACCTAATTTTCTAATTTAAATTTTCAAAAGTGCTAATTAGTTTCCTAAAAACCTCAAATTTTATTAGAAAAAAAGAATATATAACCTCAAATTCATATCTACTTCTAATTAATAAAAACTCCTTTCCTTTTAATTACAACTTACAAGTGTTTAGCAATAGAATATAAAAATAATCAATATATATATGTATATTACTAATATTGCATCTTTTGCTATATTAATTTCCAATCCACGCGTTTAGGGTTAAAGTAACCTAGCGAGTCACCCCTAGCGAGAACGAGAAAAAGAAGAGCAACGCAGGTACACAACAATCTTTTGTTCTGATTTTTGATTATTTTCTGTCTATTGTGCCAATTTTTGTGTTGTCTTGAAGGGAGACGAATCTGTTGTTCAAACAGTTTTTTGGTCATATGTGCATCTCTGTTGCGTTAGAGAGATTTATGGAATAAACCCTTTTAAGTTTTAACTATATCTAAAGGATTTTTCTTCCAAAGTATTTTCTCTTCTTTGTAGAGATGGTGGCTTTGTTTGCAAGTATTTATTGACAATAGTAGCTAGGGCTAGCTGACAATTGAATTTAATGCAGAGACCATGCCGAAGAACAAGGGAAAGGGAGGAAAGAATAAGAAGAGAGGAAAGAATGAAGCTGATGATGACAAGCGCGAGCTTATCTATAAGGAATTCGGGCAAGAGTATGCACAAGTTGTTCGTATGCTTGGCAACGGCCGATGTGAAGCCGCTTGCGTTGACGGGAGTAAACGTCTCTGCCATATCCGTGGTACCTTGCACAAGAAGGTTTGGATCTCAGCCGGTGATATCATACTTGTGGGGCTGAGGGACTACCAAGATGACAAAGCTGATGTCATCCACAAGTTCATGCCTGATGAGGCAAGATCTCTCAAGGAGCATGGTGAGCTTCCGAAGAATATCCGTCTTAATGAAGGTGTTGTTGGTGATCTCAATGAAGATGATGATATTGCGAGCGATGATTACATTGAGTTTAAGGACGAGGAAACTGTTAGTATCTAAGTTTGTTTGGTTGGCCTAGTTTCAGCTTTGTAATGAGAAATCGAAGACTTGTGATAATACTAATGTTAAAGGTTTGGTGTAAGGATCCAATGTTCTTAGGGAAGTTAAGAGATTTTTGTTTTGGTTTAGATTAAAGAATGTATTATACTCTTTTGAACAGCAACACTTTTAAAGATTAGTAACTAATATTAATACCATACTGATTCAGTTGGAAGCAACTCTCTTCAAATCAAAAAGACTCTCTTTGGCTTCTTGGTCTTGGATTGAGATTTGGATCCCATTTGTTGGTTTATCAAAGAACTTTGATAAATAAAAGACACAGAGACTTGACAAAAGAGACAGAAACAGAGTTATGGAAAAACTGAAACTTCTTTATTTAAATTTTGAATGTGTTTACAATACAAAGACAACGTCTTTATATAGACGTGAAACGACACACCGAACAACACTAACAACCAGTACTGCTAACAACAAGAGTCATAACTCTTCACTTATGTCTCTTAACATAACTACACTCACACAAGACACGACCTTAATGTGTAAACTTAAAAACATAATTAAATAACAATGACCAAACTAAATTATAATCTAACACCATTATGCCACCTCCCCAATTCTTCATTTACTCGTCATACTTTTCGTTGAAGTTAGCCTATAGACCAAAACCAGATACACGTAAAATATGAATGCTTCTGCTGTTATGTCTCACTATAGTCTGATGGCCTCCATTGATAATGGAATAGCTCAGTCATAATTTAGTGATGTTAACAAAGAATAAAAGATTAAAAATGACAAGAAAAGAAAATGTCACAAACAAAACTTACTAAAGATTAATTATGATAGTATAATGCAAAGTGAATAATTTTTGAAAATACATGTAAACTCAACTGAAAAAGATTTTAGAGACATTTTATTGTTTAACAACATCCAACAAAAAAAAGTAAAAAAAAGATTATAGAGAACAAAAATGAAATTGATTTTTCTTGGTCCCAACGCCAAAATTACATTTTTTTATTTTTTGAACACTAATTCGATTTTATTTAGACTTTTTTTTTTTTGAATTCCAAGAATCAGATCTCTTGCCCAACGGTGAGTTCTTCTTCTTATCTAACTTTATTTTCCTTTCATTCACATGGTTTTCTGGTGGATCCAATTTTAAATTCTTTTCTTCAATCTTGAATTTTGAGTTTTATCTTCACATCTCTGGATTTTTGTTTCTCTATTCCTTCAAAACCAAGAACCAAACTTTGTTCTATATAAAGTTTTTTGCTTTCATCGTGTTTGGTGTTCATTTTCATCTGGGTATTCTCAAGAATCAATCTTTATACCTTAATTTTGCAAAAATTGTATACTTTGTAGTTATTGTTGCTTTGATGATGATGCTTGTGGTTATGGATCTGATTTGGTTCCTATCGATTCTGAGAATTAGATCAGATCATCCTTGTTTTTAAGAAAATTGTGGACTAATTGAGTTTTTTTGGAATGCAAATAGTTTGAGATTAAAACATGGAAGGAATCATTGTGAGAAGAGTTATACCATCTGACAACAGTTGTCTCTTCAATGCAATCGGGTAATTAATAAGCTTTTTGAGTCAAGAATAAGTTTTTACTAAATGTTTTGAGGCTTGTGTTTGATTATCTTTGAGGTTTCTCTTCTACAGTTATGTCATGGACAAGGATAAAAACAAATCTCCTGAGCTCAGACAGGTTTGTTCATCTATATTAGCATTCTTTGATCTGTTGAAGTTTGTTTAGCTTCTTTTGCTTTGTAGTATATCAGCTTCATAAGGTATTTAAGCTTAGAGGTTACTACTGATACCGTTCTTTAGTCAATCTTGATATAGTTAATATCCAATTCCAAACAATCGAAGGGTAGTTCTACTTGGGGGAATGTTACCACATGAATTGTGTATTTCAAGTAACCGCTTTGTTAATTTCACGAGTATAATAGAAACAATTCTGAGACATTAGCTTGGTGCTATTTTGATAAGGTGATAGCAGCAGCAGTTGCAAGCAACAAGGAGAAATATAATGAAGCATTTCTAGGGAAGCATAATGAAGAATATTGTGCTTGGATTCTCAATCCAGAGAAGTGGGGAGGTATATTTGCATATATTGTTTAACATGATTCTCCATCATTGATTAAGTATTTATTGCTTTTCAACTGAATTTAGTTATAGATATCAGGTGAGATATGTTGGTAAATGTCTCTTGTTCATGATTTTTCATGGCTAATAATGTGCCTCATGTTTGCAAGGTTCATCATTTTTAATTGATATGTGTCTTTTCCATTTCTTTTGTTTTGTGTAGGTGCGATTGAGCTTTCGATATTAGCAGATTATTATGGTCGAGAAATTGCAGCTTATGACATTCAAACTAGTCGATGTGACTTGTATGGACAGGTAATCATCACACTTCAAACATACACATTCTGAAGAAAAATAACTTTATTAAACAGGACTGTTCCCTTTTGCAGACGAAAAACTACAATGAAAGAGTTATGCTGATTTATGACGGTCTTCACTACGATGCTCTTGCTGTGAGTTGATATATTGTCCATTGCAAAAAGAAACTTGATAACCAAACTGGTGGCTTATTTATAATTTCCTTGCTGCAATTTTCCAGCTGTCTCCATTTGAAGGAGCTGAGGAAGATTTTGATATGACTATATTTCCAGTTGGTAAAGATAGATCCATCGGGTCAATTGAAGGGCTTGTTTTGAATCTAGTAAAAGACCAACAAAGGTAATGTATATAAGTGTCAACCATAGTTTTGTTAGATGTGGCTTAAGGAAACAAGACTAAGCCCTGAGATTTGGTTTATCTGTTTCAGGAAAAGGAGTTACACAGATACTGCAAACTTCACTCTACGTTGCGGCGTTTGCCAGATTGGAGTTATTGGACAAAAGGTCATTTGCTTTGTCTTCTTAAATCTTCCTTTGGTATTATTTCATAGATCACAGAGCTTATATTTTGAAATTGAAACAGGAAGCTGTGGAACATGCTCAAGCAACTGGTCATGTCAACTTTCAAGAATACAAATAAGAGAATGATTGATTTGATTCTTTTATACAATTCCAAGAAACAAGAAAGTAAATTACGAAAATGATATGCTTAATTTTAATGTTGTGTGTCAACTATTCAAGTTCAGTCTGTTGTGCAATTATCTTGTGTTGTTATCTTTCTTTAGTTATATCCTCTTTAGGAGGAGGATCATTGTTGTCTCACCAATAATGTCATGAAAAATTGAACCTCTTTGTATTCATTTTCTTTGTGTTAAAAACAAAAATTTCCACTATATGTGCAGAGTAGTTGGATAGTATTGTTTTCATTTATTTCCTATGTCATTTTCTTAAATCGTTACAAGATTGTCTAACCGAATCAGGTCCCTAGTGATATCAATAATCCAAATTGGAGCCATAACATGTGCATCTTTGCAAAATTGGTGAGTTTGCAGGAAACTAATAACTATATTTTATATAAATTGATGATTAAGTCTCTAAGGAACATTAGCGTCTCTTACTCTGCTAAAGGTTTTTCTTCCATAATGATGAGATAATATTAGAGTACACATTGCTTACTTGCTAATGACCAAATGACATACATAAATCTAAACTCCGGTCGAAACTGCTTGCTGGCTCTGACTGCTTTCCCGGAACATTATTACGTCATACACAGAATCAGAAACCGGTGAAAGATTAGAGTACCGCACGCAGTGTCCCAGGTATTAAAATCTGGTTCAGCTGTGACCAAAAAACGGTTTGGCTCCTAAATCTTTTGTTTAAGGACATGCTTTAACTGAACCTTTTGGCTTTCGATTCGTGCTTCAATGAGTTTTGACTTCAAACTATTCTTCTGTGCACCTCTAGGCCATTCTATGCAACCTTTCATTCCTCCTCGGTTTACATGAGGATGATTTGCAGATTCCGGTGAAGAGTTCCATTGTCCAACCAAATCCATCATCGGGCTGAATCCGCCTTTGCTCGAGACTCTGTCCGGCGAAACCATTCCCGCGCTTGATTTTCTCCCATTTGAAACCCTTCCTCCATTCATACCTTCCATTGATATTACCTTGTAGTTGCTATCTCTATCTCCATTGCTTGCACCTGATGATCTCCAAAGCTTTGCTATTGATGAAACCTTTTTGGATGACCGTCTTGGAATGGAACACACTTCGCTTATCTCTGTGGTTGGAGTCATTGTCTCATCCCAAACTTTGCCTAAGGACTCTGTACCACCACTCGAGGCGTTGCTGTCTCGGTGATGGTGATTCTTGTTGTTCACAGAAGGAATGCTCCCATCTGGTGAGTAACTCGATCCTTGTTCTTCAAGGTGGCTCACTGTTTCCCAACCGCTATCATCTTCTTCTATGTCTCCATTCTGGTGAGTAAAAGCATCTGAGTGTCTCCCTTTCTTGTTCATCAAATTGGCATCTGGACTTACTGTGTGAACTTTAGAACCGTGGCTGGTTGGACTGTAAGCAACAGATTTCTCCATTTCTCTATCATGGGTTTCACCGATATTCATTTCTTCAAACACCGCGTAGATATCATCCGGGTTTGAAGGCTCATATGTAAATTCCTTGATTTCTTGGATATTAACCGATGCCGCGGTTTCTCTTAATAACTCAGCCTCTCTCACCTCTTTGACATCTGTCACAATATCTCTTGACCTAAGGAAAGATTCCAAATCTCCTACAAGCTTGTTCATTTGTGAGTACCTTTCCTCGAGTGCTACTTTGGCATCAATAAGCTTCATCTGGACACGTTCCTCACGCCAGACCTCAGCCATCTGCAGCATTCTTCTTTCATCGTCTACTTCTTCTCTGAGGCTCATGGATTCTCTCTTCAATGCTTCAATCTCAGCTTTATCTTCTCCTATTTCCTTTGCAAGTTCGTCGCAAACTTCCTCAATCAATTCTCTTGCTTTCCTTTCCTTTTCGTAGTCCTGCATGTAACGCTTCACAGCTAACTTTGAATCTGCAAGCTCGTTGACTAATTTATGATTCACAATTTCTAATCTCTGACGTGTTTTCTTCTCCCTGTTCATATCAGTTTTCATATCATCAATGATTGCTCGGACCTTCTCGTGCTCCCTGCCCCGCCAAGCAGCCCTCTCCTCGCTAACTTTCCTCAAAAACTGCTCGAGCTTCTTTTTATGAGATCGCTTCTCGCTCTCGAGATCTTCAATGCGAGCATGTGCTTCCTCCAGTTCTGCTTCAAGGGAAGAAACCAATGACACAGCATTCACTTGCTGATCAATACGCTTCATGTTGCTATATATTTGGTGTACTTCATCCATTGTATCCAAGCAGACAGGATCCCATTTTGTTGCCCCCTCCATGGCCGAGTGGGGAAATGGCATTGAAGGCTCGAGCTGAAAAGAAAGCAATAGAAAACTTGAGGTCAAGAAACCATAAAGAATCATCGATTACAAAAAATAATATCAACAACCAAAAGGACCTTCAAGGACTGAGACAAGAATATCGAAGTTAAGAGTTATATTGAAAATTACAGCTTTTCTAAAACCCATTGCCCAAAAAGGTAAGACTGACCAAGGACTCATAGTCATAGAACCAACTTGACCTGACAGATTCATAATCTCAATCTCATTTTAAGTTTATCCTTTCTGCAGCTGGGGATATTACGAGAAAATTTCCCAAAAAATTGCAATCAAATACGCCAATCAATTAGTACACCTTTTACTGGTAAAGTTCTAGGGTTGAAAACATATTTTCAACTGCAATTATGGTAAGAGAGCTCTAAGTCATTGAAGAGTAAATAGACAACGGATGCATGGTATCCAAAGTATTTCTGTCTGATGCTACATACATCTACTTGTTTAGCTAATAATATATACACTAAGAAGATTGAGAAGATCAACACACCTTACACAAGAATCCATTTTTTGTCGTAGCAATAGTGCTTGGGTTCTGCCTTATCTTATTGCTTTGACCGCCAGAAGGTTTGTCACTATGATGATAAAGATACGGAACACCCATGTATCCAGTACCTCCCTGCAAGGAAACAACAAGATGGCTTAAAACAGAAAGCTAATGAACATAAATTTCTTTCTCCATATGAGCACCCATCAGATCTTTCACTAAATCGTAGACATTGGGAAACCAAAAAGGTTTTCTAATTGCATGTATGGTTATAATTAGAAATCTGAACAAAAGATGATTCAAGTCTATGAGATTAACAAAACAGCTCTAGTTAAACGGATAACGCCAAATGATTGAATGCTAATCATCAATCCACTGACTAAGACTTGTACATATGTAGGTTTATTGATGATAATCATGAAAGGAACATAAAGGTTTGATAATGCAAACAAAGAAGATAAGGATTTGATAGAGCAGTGGTCAAAACTTCAACTTCAAAGTTAAGCAATCACCAATTGGGTAATAAATTGAGATCATCTCATAACAACTACCTTATTCTCACAATGCAAATAAGAGCACTTCAATTTCTAAGTAAATGCCCCCAAAATTATTGGATCTCAAGAAGATTCCAAAAAAAAAAAATTGAAATTGTACCTGAAACCCTAACCCCTCTTTGCCCTTTCTTTCTCCGCCGCTAGAACTCGCGTCAGGAACTTGCAACCGCCATAGCCCAGCGGCGAGTTTCCTAACAGAGACAGGCCGTGAGATTTTCCTCCGATCTTTGCGGCGAGTAGTCTCTGACCTCGCAACCTGGTTATTATTATTACATACATCATCCTCGTAATCATCGTCTTCGACAACGCCGTTTCTCTCTTTATTACGATCCTCCACCTTCCATCTCAATAGCGGAGTCTCCGGCCGGCTTCGTCTGCCACCAGAAGCAACGGATCTTCTCTGACGAGTCAAACTCGGGTTCCTTGCTCGACGTTTAGTGACAGTAGTAGCTCTTTGTATAGCTCTGAGATCTGGACCGTGAGAGAAGAGATTCTTATCCGACTCAAAAGCCGGTAATGTCGCCGTCGAATACGGCTTTCCGGTGACTTTCATCACTTCATCACCGCCATAGACAAAACGTGAAGAACCGACCAAAAATCTCGGAGAGAACCCAAAAAAAGCTCGAGAATCACAGACGAAAATGCGTGACTCAGAGAAAGAGAGAGAGGTTTGAGTTCGTGAAGCAAAAAAATCGCTTTGTTGTGAGAGTCTTGTGACTGAAACGAGAGAGAGAGAGAGAGAAGATGAGTAGATGAATACGTATATTTGTAAAACCCATGCGTATTGGTCAACGGTATAAGACTAAACACGACGTCGTATCATTAGAGATTGGAGTGTACGCGCGTCTTAGCGCGTGGGAGAGCGTTTCCCTAAACTACATGGGGAGAGAGAGCTCTAGCTTGGAGGTGCGTGTTGTTGCAGAGAGACGTTGGGAATATATGATTAAAGAATATTTTTAAAAATTATTAAATACGAAAATATTTGTTTCAATAAATGAATTATTGGTGTACGTGTTTTTATTTTTAATTAAAAGATTTGTATGTAGAATATGAAAAGAGTGGAATGGATATTGTATTGTCTGATGTTAACCTATCAATTTAATATTTTTATAGAAAATGGTCTTGAACATGCAATGCATAAGCTTTTTATAAGTCAATTAGATCTCGATTTATTTTTGTATTTTTGTATATAAAAAAGGTTTTGACTAGAAAACAACAAACAAAGAGACGACGAAGACATAAAAGGGTATCCTAAGTTAAGATGTCGGCTCATTGGATTCATCAGCCTTACCTACACATGCATGCAGTGCCGGCTCAGATGGGTGGGCGGACGGTGCGACGGCCAGGAGTCCGATCCCGTGGTCCAATAATAAAGGGGCTCATTTTTTAAAATATTTTTTTAAAAATATTAAAAAATTAGATTATAACATAAAAATAAAATTTAGAAAGGTCTATAAAATTTTTTATTTATTGTTTTTAGTATTAGTAATTAATATTTTTAACAAAAATAGCATATAAATTTTTTTTACAGCAAAAAAACATTAAAAAAAAATTTCTAAGAGTCCAAAAATTTTTTTTGCCCTAGGGCCCATAAAAATGTTGAGCCGGCACTGCATGCATGATCTATATAAGAAACTACAAGGGACCCGAAAACTACAATGGTGATTTTCTTTTTAAATATGCTTATGAGTTATGTATAGTAATAGCACATTTAACTTTACAATAACCTTGATTAGGCAATTTTAGATATTAACAAACTATCAACATTTCATCAGCCTTACCTACACATGCATGATCTATATTTCACTTTT